AACTGAAATAAATGTTTTAATTGATCGTGTCTTACTTTGCTAACTTCAGCAGAGCCATTTTCTCTACATCTCCAACAGAGTACGCTCTCCAATAACACTAGAAAAAAAACAAATAATAAAACATCAGGATCCAAAATCAAATCAAATCATCACAAAAATCTAGTATTTCCGTCCCTCATCACGTACTGACCTTCTTGGCTTCCACCTGCTGCGACAGTTTCTCGTAGCTTTCACCGAGTGCCACTAACATACGGGAGTCGTTTGGTCTGAAAACCAAAGATCACATAAAAAAAAAAACATTTTTTTTACAGTAAATTAAACTATTCTGGTCAAACCTCCTGTCAACTTTCTAATCTTATCACCAAGTCCAAGTCCACACCTGAGCTGATGAGCCTTTCTGTAATAGTACAAACAGTAAAAAGGCATCTTGAGGATCTCGTAGGTCTGACCCAGGCCGTACCAGGCTCTGTAGTCCCGCTTGTTCACTTCAATGGCGTGTCTGAGAGAAAACAAACAGAAGAGTCAACGCCACTGCTGCTGGTTCAAAACCCGCTGCTAACAAACAAAGTCGTGCTCCGACCTGTAGGCCTGGATGGCAGCCGAGGTGTTTTTCATTTCCATGTATTCGTGGCCCATCAGAGTCCAGGCCCCCAGGCACCGAGGGTTGAGTTTGAGCGCCCTCTGGAAGTACAGCGCGGCCTTCTCGTGCTGAGAGCGTAAGCTGTAGTAGTTACCTGGAGACCAGACACAGAACTCAGTGTTAGTCTGTTCTTCAACACGTCGGTCACATGGTGGTCCGTTAGTATCAGACTGATTTATGTGTCCTGCTTTTTTTTCTTCTTCTTAATAGACATATCTGAGGATTCGCCTCTGCTTCAGGGGATTATATTTCTGTCAGATGCCACCTACAGGTGTACCTGATATGGCCCCCGGGCCGTACCTTCAACATCATAGAAGATGAAACTGTTTATCTAAAAAATAACAAAGAAGGGGTGGGGCCTATATACATACATACATGTATATATACATACATATACAGTATATATATACATACTTATACATATATATACGATTTGATTTAATAATCGTTAACCTGTTTTATTATTTAAATAACCAAATAAAAGATAAAATTCTGTCACAGATTTACATACATTTCAATAACAAAATTAATTAAAAATGTAACTGAATTCTTCTAAAACAATATGCATGTGATGTCACACACTTGAAAAAAGTTAACGCAAAACTTTGTGTTAATTTTCTGACGCAGATTTAACGTTATTACTTTCCATAAATTCAGGCTCGGCCCGAATCGTACATTGAATCGGGCGACGCAAACTAAACGTTTAATTTGCAGCAAAAAAAACAATAATGAACAGTTTCCTAAAAATCAAACGCCCCAACCCTTAGTTGCACAACAACATCGATAATTTCTCGATGCGAACCAAGTTGCCACCGCCGTACGTCGACGCTAACAGACGACGTGATCTAAAACCTCAAACTGTGACTCACTCACCCCACAGGAGAAAATGTCTTGGATGTAGAGCATGTAACACTGAGCAGCATCGTCCGACTCATTCAGTTGTTCATGAAGCCTGAGGGAAAAAAAAAAGAAAACGTCAGCACATACAGTATTTTAAACAAGTTACATAAAGTTATAACAAAGAAAAACAACTGAAATAAATGTTTTAATTGATCGTGTCTTACTTTGCTAACTTCAGCAGAGCCATTTTCTCTACATCTCCAACAGAGTACGCTCTCCAATAACACTAGAAAAAAAACAAATAATAAAACATCAGGATCCAAAATCAAATCAAATCATCACAAAAATCTAGTATTTCTGTCCCTCATCACGTACTGACCTTCTTGGCTTCCACCTGCTGCGACAGTTTCTCGTAGCTTTCACCGAGTGCCACTAACATACGGGAGTCGTTTGGTCTGAAAACCAAAGATCACATAAAAAAAAAAACATTTTTTTTACAGTAAATTAAACTATTCTGGTCAAACCTCCTGTCAACTTTCTAATCTTATCACCAAGTCCAAGTCCACACCTGAGCTGATGAGCCTTTCTGTAATAGTACAAACAGTAAAAAGGCATCTTGAGGATCTCGTAGGTCTGACCCAGGCCGTACCAGGCTCTGTAGTCCCGCTTGTTCACTTCAATGGCGTGTCTGAGAGAAAACAAACAGAAGAGTCAACGCCACTGCTGCTGGTTCAAAACCCGCTGCTAACGAACAAAGTCGTGCTCCGACCTGTAGGCCTGGATGGCAGCCGAGGTGTTTTTCATTTCCATGTATTCGTGGCCCATCAGAGTCCAGGCCCCCAGGCACCGAGGGTTGAGTTTGAGCGCCCTCTGGAAGTACAGCGCGGCCTTCTCGTGCTGAGAGCGTAAGCTGTAGTAGTTACCTGGAGACCAGACACAGAACTCAGTGTTAGTCTGTTCTTCAACACGTCGGTCACATGGTGGTCCGTTAGTATCAGACTGATTTATGTGTCCTGCTTTTTTTTCTTCTTCTTAATAGACATATCTGAGGATTCGCCTCTGCTTCAGGGGATTATATTTCTGTCAGATGCCACCTACAGGTGTACCTGACATGGCCCTCAGGCCATACCTTCAACATCATAGAAGATGAAACTGTTTATCTAAAAAATAACAAAGAAGGGGTGGGGCCTATATACATACATACATGTATATATACATACATATACAGTATATATATACATACTTATACATATATATACATATATTTACACATACATATATATACACACATACATATATACACATACATACATATATGTATATACACATACATACATATATGTATATACACATACATACATATATGTATATACACATACATACATATATGTATATACACATACATACATATATGTATATACACATACATACATATATGTATATACACATACATACATATATGTATATGCACATATATATACATACATATATACATGCATATACACATACATATATAAATATATATATATACATATTAAATAATCTATATTATAAAAGGGGATGAAATTTAAGTCATATGGATGAAATGATCTTCTCTCCGTGAAGGTGTGAATGTGGTGATGTGTTCACCGATGACGCAGCACGTCTCCACCCTGTACTTGTCAATCTCCACCAGGTTATGGGCCAAGTAGCTCAGCTCTGGCTTCATGCTCTGTGGAAACAATTTTTAGTCATAGCACGAAAAAAACAAAACAAAACAAAAAAAAAAAACTACTCAATTTTAATTTTCAGTAAATTTAAAATCACCTTCACGTAGAGTAAGTTGGAGAACGTGTCCATGTTGTCGATGCGGAACGGATCCTGATTCCTCAGTTCGTGAAACATGGCCAGAGCCTGGTCGATATCTGAGACAGAAATGACGTACGTGAACATTTCTTCTTCTGCAGTCAAACAAACAGAAACAAACAAACAGAACCCCGGACCTCTGATGTTGTGGTAGGCCACGGCGATCTCAGAGATGATGTAGGTGCTTTTAGAGAACCCCGCCTTGATGAGGCTCTGGTACTTCTGCAGCGCCTCTTTGATCATCTGCAGCTCGGTGTACATGTGGGCCATGAAGAAGTCTTTGATCCAACACTCAGGTAAAGACAGGGACCGCAGCTGAGGACAGACGAAGGAGAGACACGAGGACAGGGGAGACAGGACAGGGTAGTGATGTCATTCAGTCACTCGTTTATTTTACAGTGTTTTCTTTCACGACCAGGACGACTCTGACGCAGAATTAGACCAGATATTAATTAAAAATCTGATTTGGAAGACGTGGCTTTGTTACCAGAAAAATATATATAAATATATTTCGTATATTGCAAATTCAAAAAACATTCTTGGACCGCCCTGCCTTGTACTAGAGATGTGACTTGGCAAGAATCTAGTAATATGATATGTATCACGATAGGGGGCAACAATACGAATATATTGTGATACGATAAGACAGACAGTAGATCAGGGTTGGTTTTTGTTTGTTTTTTTTCTCCTAACAATGTAACTGTAGTAAAGACTCTGCGTAGGTTACTAACATTGGAACAGAGGGATCTACATTTGGAATCACTAGAGAAGAAGAAATAAAAGAAAATGAACCAACACCAGGAATATTGGACTGTTTGTTGGTAATTTAAAAAAAAAAAAATCAGTCCAGTAGAAAATCTAGAAAAAAAAAATCACAATATTTAACTTCTATGTATAAAAAAAGGATTGGAAAATGTCTCCATACCATTTCTATATTGGTGACCAGGTTGCTGAGCTCCAGCCAGGCTCCCCAGTGAAACGGAAGTGCATGGATTGCCTCAACGAACACCTCAACGGCCTCCTTCAGCAGGTCCAGTTTCCTCAGCACCACTCCGTAATTGAACACACACCAGCACCAACACCAACACCAGTGATCAGAACAGTTATGAGGCGTCTCTTTGTGCACAGTCTGGACGAAGTTCAAGACGTTCTGTGCTCACAGGTAAAGAGCGAAGCTGTCCAACTCTCCTGCCCCGTGCTTCCTGCTCAGCTCCACCCTCAGTTCCCGCAGGGCTTCGTTGCGAACTTGTCCCTTCTCTAAAGGACCTGGAGCCGAATAAAAGACGTAAACACAACTTTTGGTTCTGATTTTTTTTCTTCTTTTCCTCTAAGGATCAAACCAAAGCAGTTCTTACCTAGGCTGTCGACGGTCTCGTCGTCTTTCTTTTTCTCTCCCGACTGAAGAGAAGTGCGACAATCACAGACATTTAATATGAAGAAAGTGAATTATTATATTATATATATTCATCATTGTGTTGCCAAATATAAATCTGGTGCAACCTACTCCACCCTGAATCTTTAATCAGCCTGGGAGCTTTACAGCACGATAATGACGAGATGAAAAAGTATGTTTCATCTGTGTCACTTGATGACATGAAACTTTTACGTTTACGTAGACCAGCCCGTGGCCAGCAGTCACTTTATAACTCAGATGTCCTGTTGTGTGAGATATTGCTGGACGTGGGGGCTCATAAAGAGAGCCGCTGGCTTAAGTGGATGCACCACTGTGTCATTTAGTTCTCATCAGATCCTGCCTCTCCATGGTGGCATGATTTAACTTTGGGAGGGAAGTTATCAGATACGCCAGTGCTTCGAGATTAAGACGAGCTCAGGCAATCCTTGAAGCACAGGCGACCATTGTAATTTTATGCTAATAGAGCGATATCTTTGACAATGTAGGAGGCAGCAATCTGACGACTCTTGTTCTTTCACACTCTGATTGCCTCTTCTTTCAGTCTCCCACTCCAGCTCGTCGTCTTTGTCCCTCGATATATCTTTATTCTCAATTTCAACTTTCGTCCTTTTGACTTTACACCAACATTTTGGAAATGCTGTGGTGATTTTCCTCGGTCTTTAAAAACACATATAAATGTCACCGTTCTCCTAAGTCTGCACTATTTCTCTGCTTTCTTACAAAAAGGCTCATGACAGGTTTAGGTTCTGTTGTCAACCAGAAAGACTTTCTTTTAAAGGGCATATAATTTAAGTAAGTCTCAACACTTGACATGTTTCCAAAACAGATCTCAACAGTGGTTTTCAACACAGATAGATTGAGATATTGACTTCAACAAGGTCAACGTTCCTTCTCAAGCCCCATCAGTTTGTGTCTTGTCTCTAACTCCACTTTACATTAACAGATTGTGTGCAGCCTACTTGAGCAGGAAGAGTGGGGTATACATATTACAGGGCTATACACAAAGTATACATATGAATTTTCCGAGTTTGTTTAGACATAAATAAAATGCGTTTTGTAAACATTTATTTATGGTTCTACTAAACAATGCTGATTACTTTTGTTAAATTACATTTTTTAGAGCGCGCACCTTTACGTTCCTGAAACTTTATCTTGTAAAACACTGGTTGTGTCTTTATATATTCAGAAAAACGACAGTCCTAGCTGGCGTAGTGTGACGTTAACCTGCAGCACCACAAACGCAGGACACACCAAGGTTCTTTTTCTCTTGTGCAAGACCAGTTTTAGCCACAAGAGGTCAGAAGTTCACAGGCTTTAAATACAATAAGACGCAAAGTAAAAGCTCCAGTATCTCCAGGACAACAAGAACATGTTTTTATTAGATTAAATATGAAATCACGCAACCTCACAGTCTGTGGTCAACGAGGCCTGGCTGAGTGTTTAATCAAAATATCACTGAAGTACTATTTCCACTGAACACGCTCAACTAGATGAAAGGTTGTGTTTGTGTGTAGTGTACACACATGTACACGTTAGTTTACATGTACATAAATGTACCCAACGTTTAAAAGAGCAGCAGTAAAGCCTTTTCTCTTTCACCTGAAATCACATGTTAGACAGGGAACAGCAGCGGAACTTTGACTCTATATTTAACCCATGGCTAAGACTTTCATTAGCCCGGGGGCTTAATGCTCTGTCAGCCGTGAGCTTACAGTCATTTCACAGCTGAAACATCAAAATGTGAGAATTCCCAACCACTCTCGCCCTGCTGTGACGTAGTTTCTATCCTGGACTTAGAGCTACTGTTGCATGTTGAAATGTATTAAACAATAATAATAAAAATAATAATAATAAAGAAGGAAATGCAATAATTGTATCACTCATATTATATTATTATTTCATGTTATTTAATTTATTCCATTTTGATTTAATTTTTAAAAATATGGGACAGACCGTACTCTCACCAGAACAACTGTGAAACCGTCTTTGTAATAATAGAGACATGAGACAAATGAGGACATTACCTATCGCTACCTATAGATGGCAGTGATCAACTTCCTCAAACAGAGTAGAAAAATAAGACAATACACACGAACGACGAGCAGCACTTAATGCCGTGTGCATCCACATCACATCAGCTCTGAAGCCGCTCCGTGGTCGTGATGATGATCATTTGTCGGTGGACTGGTATTTTCTCTGAAAGTGACAATGAACATGACTGGCCACGTCCCTCTTTACTCCCCCCAAATGAAAGGTGCGACTCAAATGTCTCCCCTAATTTGGATCCAATTCATCCGAAGAAGTGAAGAGGGAAGCTGAGTCGGAAAATTAATTGTCTCTGGTCCCCGACAGTGTCTTCTTATTAGGAAGTGAGTAGTTTTGGAACTTAGTTTTCCAGCAGACAGGCAGTGGAGTGTGTGTGTGTGTGTGTGATCCTTCACAGGGGCAGCATGATACCGGTTCCAGTCGGACACACACACACACACACACACACCCGTCCACCGTGTCAGACAACCTGATGATGCTCCATTATTGTTTTTATTTATTTATTTTCTTTCTTTCTTTTCCACATCAGAGCAGAATTTAATTTACCTCCGGTCTGGATGCTGAGGCTCACACTTTGCTGGACATCCTCTGCTGAACGTGTCTCCCAATTTTCTCCACGGAGCAAAAAGCCACTTAAGAAGACTGACAAAGTAATCAAGTAGCTGTGCAGTTTACAAGGTCGGCCACATGGCTCAGTGAGCAGGCTGAAAGAGCTGCAGACAGGGGGGGCTACCGAGTCCATCCCATCACACACACACACACACACACACACACACACATTGGTGATGTCTCTTTCATATTGCCTCTACAGTAATTTAGTTACAGTAACTGTCCCTAACACACACACACACACACTCTCTCACACACACTCACACACACGCGGGTCCTGCAGGTACGGAGCAGTGAAGTGCGTGATGAACCTGCTGAGACTGAATTCTGGGACAGCTGTGTAATTGAAAAGGAAAATATGCCAACAATGTGCTTGACTGTATATTTTTGTGCTGCATGCACACTACGAGAGACACCCGCACACACAGAGAGAGAGAGAGACAGAGAGAGAGAGAGAGATTTAGCCCCCACCTCAGGAAAAAAACACACGCCGGTCCTGGAAGCGTTCTCTGAGTTAAACCTCACAGACAGACGTTTGTGTGTCTTCATCAGAAAGTGCATCAGTTTTAGGTTTTAAATATAAAATCTTTGTAAAAAAACCAAAAAACAAATTGAATTTTGTTGAAACCGAAGCGCCGTCAGGGGTGAACCAGATTCAATAATGTAAAAGAAGCTCAGAGCCAGCTGCCCCCCCCCCCCCCCCCCCCCCCCCCGCCGTGATACCTGACACTGTTATAACAACCGGCCTCATTTTCCAAATGCATTTAGTTCTTTAGCAAATACAGTTTGAAATATTTGTGATGTGAAATAAAGAGCACTCAGATTGACATATTATACAAAAAATACTGACGTTGAAAGAGCACTCAGATTGACATATTATACCAAAAATACTGACGTTGTTTTTTTTTTCCCTATAAACTTTGAGGCGCGTAATACGATCAAATGTTCAATTTCCTAACATTTACAACACAACAAAAAAATCTGGGATTAACAACTGGTCCCACAAAGTAACAATTAGGGCTGGATAGAGCTAAAGGTTAGCTAGCGAACAACAATATTTTAGGCCAGAATTAGCACAAGATTATCACCAGAGAAACGGCCAATTCTGTTTCCAAGAATCTAATCTAATCTAATCTAATCTAATCTAATCTAATCTAATCTAATCTAATCTAATCTAATCTAATCTAATCTAATCTAATCTAATCTAATCTAATCTAATCTAATCTAATCTAATCTAATCTAATCTAATCTAATCTAATCTAATCTAATCTAATCTAATCTAATCTAATCTAATCTAATCTAATCTAATCTAATCTAATCTAATCTAATCTAATCTAATCTAATCTAATCTAATCTAAAAGAGTTGTTCAAAAACAATGGCAGATAAAATAAAAAATAGCCGCTACGTTGCAAAAATGTTAAAACTGAGATAAAAATAAAGACAAAAGTTCACCCAGATACATCTAAGTGTTAGCAAAACAACATAAATATTAGCATGGACACAACTAAAAATCGTCAGGAAACTAAAAAAAGAAGAGAAAAAAACATTCCAAAATACAGTCAACAACATAATAACCCGTTTGTCCACCAGGATCTGCTGTAAAACCTGGTTAAACTATATGCAGATGATACAAGAAAAAAAAACTCATCAATAAAATGATTTTTCCTTCCATTGCTGCTGGTACACAGGTTCAGTACACACCAGTGTCACCTGGTCTTCCACAGTGGACATTTGAATTTTACACTTAGTCCAAATGATTGATTTGACACAACATTAAAACCCAGGACTTTAATGCATTCGAAGGGAAAAGAAAAGCTCATTAAGTGAACGGTAGCTGACAGCGACATGATAGCAGCAGCTGCAATGGCACTAATGAGCAGACGGCAACAAGAGAAGAAGAAGTAGAGCTCAGCGGTGAGCCGATGAAGGCGGACGTTTATTAAGAGGAATCTGTACATGTTTTTTTTCTCCACTTCATATTGAATTAAAGGCCACAGGAGTCGTCATCACAGACAGAGGAAGAATTTGTTTTTAAAGTGTAAAATAAAAACTACAGGCAGGAAAAAATCAAAAGAAGGACGTTGGTGATCTTTATTAAAGTTGTTGTTGTTGTTGTTCCACCTGCAGCTCAGAAGGAAAAGAACTTGAAGGTCATAAAAATGACCAAATAAGTACAAGTTAGCAACAGCTAGCTAATTTCAAGTTAATGCAGTAGAAAATGTCTAGTCAAGAGCTAAAATGTTGCCAAGAGAACACTAAAACTTAGCTCGGAAATCGACGAAAGGTAACATGCAGTTATGCAAAAATAGCTAAGCTAACTATAACAATGCTACATCTTGGCAAACAAAGACT